GGTTTACAGTGAATTTATAACAGCTAAGGGGCGTTGTTAGGGCGTTGTCCGCTTCGCGTCGTACCTAACAACGCCCCTTAGCTGTTATAAATTCACTGTAAACCACGGCTTCTTGGGGCTTATTGCTTTAACGTATCACAGTTTATACTCCGATATGAAGCAGCACAACTGTTTTCAACATTGGTGATAATCCAAGGGCGTAGAATTAAGTAGGGACGCTCGGGATGTGTCCTACCAAAATCTAGCAACTACTAAATTGTCCCTCAATCAAACAATTAAATGTCAGTTGTCTGCTGTTATGTCCCCACCAATGCCAAAATCAAACCCACGCCCTTGTAATAATCAGAAATGTTTCTTCAGCAGCAAATCAGCATATTAGAATGATTTCTGAAGGATCATGTGACTCTGAAGCCTGGAGTAATGATGCTAAAAATTCAGCTTTACATCACAGCAATAAATTATATTTTACAATGTAGTAAAACAGAAAGGAGTTATTTGAAATAGTAATAATATTTCCTATTATTAGTGTTTTTATGGTATTTTGGATCAAATAAATACAAATTTTATGAGCATAAGAAAAATATCAAACTTTTGAACGATTGTGCAGGTATTGCATACTGTTAAAAAAGTATTAGTAGTGTGTTAGTATGCAATTCCTAAGACATTTACGGAATATATGTGGTTATTTATATCATTCTGAACTTTATTTTTCAGTCACATAAGCATGATATTCGATTGCATTAATGCTGTTGTGTTTCAGGGATTGCCATGCTAACGTTCGCCTTGCTGATGTCTGCAAGAATGGGCATTTTTCAGGAAACTTTGTACAAGAAGTATGGCAAACACTCCAGAGAGGCTTTGTTTTACAATGTGAGTACCTAACCATACGTATGATGCTGTATTCTAGTGTGCAGCATTTTGTCATATATGAGTATGTGGGATTGAGTGGGATTTTTCTGCCTTTTTTCAGCACTGTCTGCCTTTACCAGGATTCCTCCTGCTGTCAACAGACATCTACAGACACGCCGTGCTCTTCAGCCAGAGCTGTGAGTATGCTTCTGATGGGACTAATGTAGTAAATTAGTAATCTCCGCTCAAACGTTTGGGGTCTTTAAGGTTTTTAAAATGTTTTTTAAAGAATGCTTACCATGGCTGCATTTATTTGATCAAAAATATGGTGAAAATATTATTGCAATTTAAAATAACATTTTTCTGTGGAAGCTCATTTCTGCCACAGGATTAAAAAAAAAAAAAGTATAAAAAAATGTTTGTAACAATGTTCGTAGGTCGGGAAGAAGGAGACGGGAACCGGCTAACATTTAAACAATTTAATAAAATAAACAAACACAAAACGAAAAAGCAGCAATCCCTCGCGGACGACTGCCGCACACAAAACACAAAATAAAGTCCAGGCCTGGTCCTCTCTCCTCTTTCACTGTCGTCACTCCTCCTTCTATCCTTCCGGAGCTCCTCCGTGGGACTCGAGACCGGTGAGTGGTGCAGGTGTCACTCATTATCAATTACTCCATCGGCCTCACTCCGTTCCCATGGCTCTCGGCCCCGCCCTCACTCGTCACATATCCCCATTGCCCCTCGCAGGCCAGGGGGGACTCCCGAGACCGCGCTCTACTCC